TTTAACATAGACAATATAGTAGTATCAGCCATCATTACCATGCTGTACATCTCCATGACTTGTTTTATAACCTAAAGTTTGTACCTTTTGGACATCTTTACTCATTTCACCCTCCTCTATCCTCTGCCTCTGGCAACCAGCAATACGTTTTCTGTATCTTTGAGTTAACTTTTTTTTTTTTAGATTCCACAGTTTTCCAAAGAAGACATACAGATGGCCATGAAAAGATGCTCAACATCACTAATATCAGAGAACTGCAAATCAAAATTACAATGAGATAATAATACCTCACACCTAGCAGGATGGCTATCATCAAAAGGACAAGAAAGTGTTGGTGAGAATGTGCAGAAAAGGGAAACCTCATGCACTGTTTGTAGAAATGTAAACTGGTGTACCCACTATGGAAGATAGAGGTTCCTCGAAACAATTAAAAACAGAAGCACCATAAGATCCAGCAATGCCACTTCTGGGTATTTATCCCAATAAAATTAAAATACTAACTCAAAAAGATACATGCACCCCTATGTTCACTGCAGCATTATTTAAAATAGTCAATGTTCTCTTTAGTTTCATCTTTTGTTATTCATGCTGTGACGCCTCCTAACCAGCTGGGAGGTGAATGGGGACAGAAGTGGAGCTTCTGAGGCTCGGAGGAGAAAGTGGCAGCCACCTGGCAGACAGAACTAGGAGAAGCTGGCACAGGGGGTCCATGCGATCCCCAATCCTAGATGTGAGCCAGCAGGGGCAGGCTGGGACTGGCTGCTGGAGATCAGTGATGAGCCTGGGGAGAGATATCAAAACCAGACAAAGACACTACCAAAAAAGAAAATTACAGACCAATATCACTGATGAACATAGATGCAAAAATCCTCAACAAAATATTAGCAAACAGAATCCAACAACACAAAAAAGATTATACTCTGTAATCAACTTGAGTTCATCCCAAGGACACAACGATGGTTCAATATATGCAAATCAATCAACGTGATACACCAAGTCAACAAGAGAAAGGACAAAAATCACATGATCATCTCAATGGCTGCAGAAAAAGTGCCTGATAAAATTCAACACCCATTTATGATAAAAATTCTAACCAAACTGGGTATAGAGGGAACATATCTCAACATAATAAAAGCTATTTATGACAATCTTATAGGCAGCATAATACTCAATGGTGAAAAGTTGAAAGGCTTCCCGCTAAAATGCAGAACAAGACAAGGATGCCCACTCTCACCACTTCTACTCAATGTAGTATTAGAAGGCCTAGCCACAGCAATAAGACAAGTAAAATAAATAAAAGGGATCCAGATTGGAAGGGAAGAGGTAAAATTGTCACTATATGCAGATGACATTATACTCTACAGAGAAGATCCTAAACACTCTACACAAAAAATACTAGAACTGATAAATGAATTCAGCAAGGTAGCAGGATACAAGATCAACATACAGAAATCTGTTGCATTCCTTGTACTACCAAGAAAATACCAGTACGAGAAAGAAAAAAAATCCTGTTTAAAATTGTATCAAAAAATAAAGCCTAGGCATAAACCTGACCACAGAGGTGGATGACTTGTATGCTGAGAACTTTGATAAAGGAAAACACTGATAAGGGAAATTGAAGATTCAAAGAGTGGAAATATATCCCATGTTCCTGGATTGGAAGAATTAATACTGTTGAAATGGCCACACTACCCAAATAAATCTTTAGGGACAGTCTACGTGGACAATGATAACTACCTGCTTGTATTTCTGCCTGTTTCTCATTCTAATCTCTGGAGCTGGGTTCATTTGGTTCTAAATTCAGCTCTGCCCAATAATGAAACCAATTATGCCCTTAAGCAGAAGAAATATAAGGAAACTGCAGTCAATTACAACAGCAGTGCGGTCTTGCTGCTGACCCAGCTCTGATGCTACTTTAGTCTGTGTCCCTGGAATGGAATCCTCTCCTTTCATCCCAGTTCTGAGTCCTCCCTTAAGTTCTCTTCTTGTTACTTCGTTTCTTACTGAGCATCTGTCTTATTGCTGGCTGGGAACCACATCTTTCCTCTGAATGAACCCCAGCTTCTCAGTGACCAGGTGTCTCCACATTTTTACTTGGTCTACTTCAAATCACTTTTCCATTATAACAGTAAGACCATAAAATAAATGAACCTACAGAATGGAGGACTGCCTCAAGGGCTAGCACCCTTCCTCAAAGTGAAAAACACCACCTTAGACTTCATCCCCTTTTCCTCCGCCAAACAACCTTTCTGTGTCCTGGAAATGACTCTGGATGGACTTCATGTTCAAGAATGCGCAAACACCTGTACTTCAAATGACTTCAAAATATCAGTCACAAATATTTAATGAGCACATCTTAAACAAGTACTTTTAACCTGAAAACACTAAAATGAAGTTCCTGCTTGCAAATGACTAATCTTGGATAAGGAGAAAATTCTTGAATGGGATACCAGTTCATAAACAGTTACGAAACAACAAGGTAAGTACTACAATGAAGGTAGATAAGATATTGGGGGAAAGGAGAGAGAAAGCGAATTCCCAGTGCCTCACATGGGCTGGGATGGGAGTAGGGTGGCTGGATCTCACCACCTCCACTTTGGTCAGTGTTCCGTTGTAAGGGTAGAAATGCTGAAGTAAGCACCGTCAGGGTAAGGGCCAGTGCAGGCTGGCTCAAGGGCTTTCAACCGCCCCAAGTATAAAGAGCACTGCATCAAACTCTGTCGCCACAGAACCCCTCCGCCTGCAGCGACTGGGGAGATGGGAAGACTTCACACACGAAAAAACGACACTTGAACTTAATATGAGGGATATGTAAAAGCTCACAAGGAGTGAAAGGAGAACGGTGCGGGCAAAAGCAAAACGCGTGCAAAGACAGGTGACAGTGGGTGACTGCAGGGTGGGACTCCCGAAGGCCCGGGGACAGAGAGCAGCTGCTAGGTGATGAAAGGGCCTGGGTAGTGCATTTAGAAATTTAGGCTTTGCTCCATGGAGGGTCCACGGACCATTTGTTAGAAAGATCACCTGTTCCACTGCACACAGAAGAGAGTTCAAGTCCAATCCTAGATCACCCAACGTAACTTGCAAGTTTCATTTCTTGCCATTCCTGTTATTAATCTGCTTTCCAGAAAAACCATCACTGGAACGCATCATATTTCTCACTGTAAATACCTTTTTCCTTTTCCACTTACAAAGTTTCTGTTCATTTTTTTAAACGGAGGTACTGGGGGTTGAACCCAGGACCTCCTGCATGCTAAGCAGGCACTCTATCCCTGAGCTATACCCGCCCTATGATTCCTTCCTTCTTTGAAAGCCTCCTCTCTGAAGCTCTGGTGACTCCCTGAGATAGAATTAATCCATTCCATTGCTGTACTTGCATAATGATGTGTGGTACCTCTGTTAAACCACTTACTGTTTTACTGTGTATTACTGTGTAATAATTATTCTACTAGCGATTAGACTGTATCATGCTCACGGGCAGCAGAGACGGAACTAAGCAGGGTGCTTAACACAGTGGGCATTCAAAAATGTTGGTCTCATACACTCCTTCTCAGAAGGTACCACATACCATTTATGGCACATGAGCTGTTTTAGGTGGTACCCTGAATGTATATTTAAACAGTTGTAAATGTCTTAAACGTGTTTTAGAAAAATTGTAACTACCACATCAGACTCCGGATTTCAGGGATGTTATTGCCAGAAAGGGCTAAATGAAATGAAAATATTAATCAGAGTAAACGGTTTAGGAGTGGCTCCCTCCCTGGTACTCCCCATTAACTGACCCTGCCTGATGGGTTCCACAGCCCTTCCCATCACTTGACATGGATACTTACTGCTCCTCCCCGAGAAGGAAAGCACCACGAGGACAGGGATTTGGCTGCTGTACTCTCAGAACTTACAACAATCCCTGGTAAGTGCAAGGGCTCAGTATCTAGTTACAAAAAGAGAGTGAGGGAGGGAAGTAGAAAAGGAGTGACTGACAGAGAGGACGAGATGGAGATTAATGTACTTCACCAACTCACACAATCAGCTCCTGAGCTCGAAGGAACTTCAATGCTCTCATTTTACAAAGGGTTGGTGACTTACTCAAGTACAGATAGGCAGCGCGTCGCACAGCCTTAACGCCAACCCGTCACTTAATGAGAAGTCGGTGAACATCGCATAGGCAATACAGACAAATGGAGGTTTATTACTTCTCTGTAACAAACCTCTACATGCTGGAAATCCTTAATTTAATGAGACAGAATTGATTGCCTCATCCAGACATCAATAATCAAGACAGAAATAAGAAAACCCACAGTTTTACAGTGTACATATCAGACAGTACGTTACTGATGAAAACACCAGCGTTACCTCCAAGGACCATGCCGGCCTGACAACACTTTCTAAGGCGACACGCCGGGCAGTTTTTTCTACGAATTTTATCAACAATGCAGTCATTTCTTCCAGCACACAAATAGTTATGCTGCCCTAAAAAATAAAAAAAAAAGTAAAAATTACTTACAGTGTCTAAAGACCACTGGAAATTCTACAAAATGACAACTGAAAAAGAGGACAGGTGTACGTTTGCAGGTGTGTGAACGTCTCAGCCAGCCTCTTGCTGGGCACAGCTGAGGGCTGGCGGTGCTCCAAAGTCAATACTTCACCTGAACCTTGAGGAGCCTAAATGAGGTGAAGACAGCTTAGAAGCCAATTCAAGGACTCCTTCAAAGATCTGTAAAAGATTTCTTTGCCTCTTCTTAACGGAGTCAGCATCGGAATGCCCTTAGACCTTTCTGTCATTTCACGATTAGTTACGTGTTGCTGATAAGCATTAACATGCTAAGATAGTCAAGCTGTAGTGAAACTTTTTTTCTTTTCTGACATATAAAACTTCATGAAAGCAGGTGCAGATAATTAAAGGAGCCTCTAGAATAGACTTTTTAATAAAACCTATGTGCTTAATTCTTTTGGAAACTCTTGGAGCTAGCACACTCTTTGAGGGTCTCATGAATTTGAATAGCATGTAAAAAAATGTGACTGACTGTACTGACTTTATTGTCTGGTCTGTTCTGGCTACCAATTAGAAAACAGGATGCACAGAAACAATGATAATGGGAGAACAATTTAAAACAATGAGATGAACTCAATGAAGGAGAGGACAGGAGGATTACAGGAGAATAAGGGTAAAATACGTGACCCTGGGGTCATTTTGCGCAGGGGAAGGGTATAAATGGATATACCCTTCAAAAAGTCTGGAATAAGAATTTAATATTCAACAATGATGAATTTTAAGTCAAAAACATGTTACATTTAATAAGGCATAGAGCAATCTAATTTATTTAGATCGAACAAAAATGAAAAAAAAAACCCTCAGCTTAAACATGTAAATATTAACTAGAAAATGTACTGCTTTGGCACACCTCATTTTCCAATAAATTCCTATAAAACAGACTGTGAGTCTTTTAACATCATCAGTTTACTTATACTTAAGCATAAAAAGTAATTTTAAAAGGTTATGGAATCTTCCTACAGTATTTTGTATTAGTCGACACTAAAACCAGATCCACTCTTCTGGCCAAAGTTCTTGTAGGAAAGGGACACAGAAATACCTTGAACATTTGCTTAACTGAGTAGAGAAACAGCCACGTCCCAAAGGTAAATGGCAAAAAGGCCACGCCTATGGGATCGGTCGTAACAAACCGGCTCGTTGACCTGGGGCGTTTTTGGAAAAGCACAGAGAAGACTTTTCTTAAGAATGTATTCCTCCACAAGCTGAAACTCATCCTCTCACATACGAGTGCCCACTCTCTTGTTCAGCAGGAGTCCTGGGCACCAGGCTTTCCTCCTAATAAAGGGAGGTTATGAAGCTTCACAGCGGTGCCTAAGAAATGTTGCAGCCAGCCAGTTCCAACTAGAGTTGACTAAGATAATTTGGCATGGGGCCCCATCACTGCCTCCATACCACAACACTTGGCCAGGACTCAGAGCCACCAAGAAGGCAAGGAATGCAGAAAGAACCACTCCATTACATGTGTCAATCCATCAAGTATCTGGCTATATATAAGATGAAGAACGTTCACACCCAAATGTCTTGGCTCTGTTGCAACATTATCTGGGAAGTCTGCAAAATATTAAGCTGTGGTGGTTGCAAATCCAACATAAGGTCTATTGCTATCACTTTTCTTCAGACAATAGTCCCAAATTTATATCCTGGCTTCAAAAAACACATCCATGTCCAGACCTACTTGCTTTTTCCTCATAAATCACAGATTGATGGCTCAAATTGCACATTGCTGCTGCTCCACAGCCCAACATAATATTG